CTACATTGTAATAAATCCATAGCCTTAAAACTAATGAAAATGGGCACGCATGCAGTGTAATTAGTTTCTCGATATTGTGTCTAATCAGACCGGATCTTTTGATTTTAGAAACAATTATTTCCTCAAGAAAGCAGATGTTCAGTATGACAACAAAGGATTAGTCCTCTTATTCCATCAAATCAAATCCTGATGCCGGATAAAGCATTCAAAATGGTCGATCATGGTGTACACAACCTCTCCAATCTTTCACCAAATTCTTTCATCAACGATCGTTATACCAAAGAGTACATATTATTATTAAGCTTGTTAGCAGCACTGATATTCCTCATCAATTTAATGGTAATTTCGCTCTTTGCAACACGCGATAATCTGCGTACGAAAACGAACACGATCCTAGTAAGTCTCGCATGGTCGGATATGTTGAACGGCTTGGTGGTGATTCCACTTCAGATTATGGCAAGCAAACATACCCAAGAGCAATCCTTACGTTTGGCATCAATGGTGTTGTACCGCTTCATCGCAGTCTCTACAATGTTACATATACTTGCGGTAATATTAGAACGCCATATTTGTATCCTATCACCGTTGAGGTACCATAGTTTGGTAACCAAATCACGTGTCATCAAAACCCTCGGCTTTATTTGGTTCGTTTCAATTTGTAACTCCGTCGTCTCTCTATCCTGGATTTCATTGGCAGACGAGTACAATCATTTAAAGCAACCCCCAGGGCTACAAGAATCGAAATTACTACGCTTCGAACTCGCATACACTTTGTTTACAGTCCTCCTGTTCTTTGTAATCCCGCTTATAATCATGGCGTACAGTTTTACAAAGATTCTATGTGAAATTTCGCGACACAACAGGCGAGATTCAGAGCTCATGTTGGAGTCTTCCGTCAGGAACAGCAGTAGTACTGACAGTGCCAGTGGTGAAACAGAGAATCGGGCACACCAGACCTACAGGTTTGAACGCAAACCAGTTTTGATTTTTCTAACCATGTTGTTAGTCTTCAGTATTACGTGGTCATCCTGGTACGCTCAGAATCTAATTCTTTGCATCTCTCCAAAACATTATAAACCAGTTGGTGGAAGATGGCCCGCGTTTGTACGTTCTTCGACATCTATAATCAACCCTCTTCTTTATTCGCTGATAAAAAAAGACTTTCGACAAGCATTGAAAAGTTGGTTGAATCAAATAAGAAATTTAGTGATCTCTCGTAAAACAAGCGAACAAGATTTAACATCTAAATTTACCATCGAAGCATAACCGTAGAACTCCTTACAGGAAATGGAATCAGGGATCAATAAACTTCGTAACATTTTAAAACAAGAACTCAAGGATTGGTTGCAACATATTTAAAAACAGATCGGTTCCTTAAATAATAATTCTATAAAAACCAAAATGGAAACCGTACGTCAGCTTCCAAATATATCTTGGGAGTGAGGTTACTGTAAATGTCATTGTATAGATATACTACATGTAAAAATAAGTACGGAAAAAATGTTAAATCTTATATGTGTGTGTAGTATATTACGTTAATTAAATTAAAAAAAAAAAGGAATTTTTACAAGATAAGGTCAGACTATAGTCAATAAATAGAACTCGATGCGACATTATACACCTCATTATCTATGTTTTTGACTTGGTCTATGCAAGAAATAGTCGGTTCATCGTCACATGTGTATTGTATAATTGTATTTTTCTAAAGCAACCAATAGCTATGTTTTCATTTAACCATTGTGTAATATCATGACTGGGTTCCGGTAATTAAACCAACACACTGCTATCGGTTGGTTGGGCGAAAAACCAATACACACGTGACGATGAACACATCATTTTTGGCATAATCCAAGACAAAAAGCGTAGATAGTGACGTGTATATATTATGTTTGCATCGAGTTCCCTAACCGTCTTATTCTATTGACTACGGTCAGACTATACATTAATCACGGCAGAAGCAAATCATTTGTCCTCAACCTGAACCACAGATTGACTCCAGAACTATGCTACACAACCTTTAAACAGTACTATCTTATGATTAATTTCAAAACTTATGCATATCGCGCAACAAATCCCTGAGAAACAGTAATATTTTAAGTATATTTGTGCATCCAGGATTTGTAAGGCAGTTGGTTTATATGCATGCAGAAATATTGCCACCTGCCATTTATACCATTTTCATTGCCCATAACAAGTTTCTGAGTTCAATAAACTACAGGATTGAGTGGATCTGCTCTTATATTCGCCATATCAAGACTTGAATCTGTATCATCATCAATTTCTCCAATTACAGCACTAGAATAACAATCAAATATTTTTACTAACACTTGATATAGGCACAACACATAAAACAACTTTTCTTGCAACAACAATAATTGGTTTGCTGTTTATTAGTTCATTTTTCACCAATAGGCAACATCTGCTCCTATAAATAGGGAGTTTACTGCACGTGAGACAGTGACGTCAGGACGACAGCTATCAATACAATGACATTAATCCTATAGCACAAAAGAAATTAATAATGAAAAGTCTAGCAGGGTTTTAGACGTCATCCAAGCTCTGTTGACAACGGCAAAATGCATATTTTCACGTCTTGTAAAGTACGCTAGCATTTCAAGCTGTGACAGGTAGTTTTTCTAACAGAGTTGATCAAAATTGCTCTGAAGGGTAAAGTTGTTTTATATACTCGTTCTAAACTGTATTAAATTCATACGAAAGTAAATACAAGACAAGATTTCCATGCAATCATTTATTTGAAACAGTTTGCTTAGCCGTCGTCCTGACATCACCATCTTACGTTGCATAAACTCCGTACCACCAAAATGAGGAGGTTATGGGAATTTAAAAAATTGTTTGTTATATATTTTATAACTTACATGTTATCTCCACGAATAATATAAAGACCTAAAACAACTTGTTCCACACCACTCGTTGAAGAAAACACTCGTTCATGGCTTTCGTCCAGAATTAAATTGATTGTTTGGTCAAAACCTTTTAACAGACCCTTCAATCACATCAAAATAAGAAAAGAATCATATTTCAGCTAAGAAACAAGCTACAATCCTGGACAAAATATTCCTTTGTGGCTTTTTTTTACTAGTTAGACCGGATAATTTACTCGTTTGCCCCCCCCCCCCCCCCCCCCCCCCC